AAAAGAATTTTTATTAAATATTATTGATAAAATTCAGGATGAAGATATTAAGAGATAATATTTATTAAAACTTAAAGAATTAATTTTACATGAAGAAAAACAAAAAGATATAGATTCTTATAATTTAAAAGATATATTAAAAAGATTTGACAAACCCACACAAGTTACTCTAGTGACTTACAAGAAGAAATTAATATTCTGAAAAATCAAGTTAAAGAATTATAAAAAGATAATTTTGAAATTAAGACAAATTTATTATGTTTAAAAGCCTTTAAAGAAACTATAGGACAACCATCAACTTCAAAATTAGAATTAAAAATTGTTGAAGAAACTGAAGAATCATTTATTAATGAAATATCTAGGATTCAATTTCAAAAATGACATGTTTACATTAGGATCAATATTAATCATGAACTAGATATTATTACACAAGCCTTAGTAGACACAAGAGCATATCAAAATTGTATGAAAGAAGGATAATTCCAACAAAATATTATGAAAAAACAAAAGAAATATTACATGAAGCTAATGGTCAACAATTAAACATTAATTATAAAATATCTAATGCTCATGTATATATACAAAATTTTTGTATTAAAAATAATTTTATTCTAGCAAAAGATTTAGATCAAGATGTTATATTAGGTACCCCATTTACTACTCAAATCTACCCTTTTACAATAAACAATAAAGGAATTACAACAAATATTTTAGGACAAGATGTAACATTTGAATTCGTTAATCTACCATTAGTAAAAGACATTAGTAATTTAAAAAATATTTCAATATCTAAGATAAATACTATTACTAAATTAGAGAGTCTAGAAATTATTCCCACAAAAGAATGGCTCGATACTAGAAAATTTTGGATGCTTGCATTACAAAAACGTGTTTTCAACTTTTTGTATTAAAATTTAAAAAGTTTCAAAATTATGTTTTTAATGAAATGCAAAAGTCAAAAGGTTTTTACTCTAATAGCCTCTCTCATAATAACTTTCAGGACGAGAATTTTTTGACAGAAAGTGAAGGAAAGATGGGCACTCCCATCAAACCTCAAAATAATCCAAAATCAAAAGCATCGTATGCGATGCTACCACCTCAACAATCTATTACCCCACAATCAAAACCTTTAAAACCCAATAAACAAAAAACATTATTACCCAACCAAATCGATTCACTCTTCTAGATAAAGAATCTGTTTCTTCATCACCACCAAAAAATTACCAACAAGCCCTTACAATACCAACATCTTATTCACCTTCTCCATCAAAACATATTAACATTAATCCAACTTTTCAATACATTGAAAAAGAAACAACCCAATCAATTTGTATTATTGAACCCGAATTCTGGGAGCAAACTTTCCAAGAAACCTTATCAAAAATTTTCCCTCCAAATTTTTATTTTATTCCTAATGATCTATTAAAAACAAGAATCTTTTATGAATTTATTTTAGTTGATACTGATTCAATTGAAATTAACCATAATCCAGAAAAAAAAATGATCAAAATAAAATTTCTTTTTCAAAATGCAAAATCAAAAAAGTCTTGAGACCATAATATTGGCGTGTTGGAATTTATAAAAAACGCTCATTTTCTCAAACCTTTATTCCTCAAGAATTTTCATATAAAGATTATGAAAAAAGCTTGGTTTTATATTTTCTGTTTATCACACACAACACATTCTTGGATTTTTATATTTGACAAAACTTGTCCAAAATGGTTTCAACAATGATTCAATTTTTTCGGTTTAAATGAAAAAATTCTCCCACCTTCGGTTTGGGAAGGATATCAATTATTCGCCAAAAATTTCACTAACAGTGAAGAACCTTTGCTAGGATTTTCCAGCAATTTCTTAATTGCCTGGATAATGAATTGGCAATTTTATACCACTACACCTCCCCCTCCAAAATTCAGAGAATTACAAAGAAAATTCTTTATTAAATGGTGGCTTAGCTTTTCCATCCAAAATGTTAGCTCATCGGCCGTGCAGATATGGATTTCTCAACACCCTCATTTATGTCGACCTCAACAACAATCAACATTTCTAATGCAAAAATCAAAACTTCAGGCTGAGTTGGCTCAATGTCAAACCCCTCAAGATATGGACAAAATCATTGGATCTTCCTCATCTCAAAAAGCAGATTCGGACAATACCAAGTCACCAAGTGATCAAGATGAAGATGACTATTTTGCAATGTTCCATAATCAAATCAATTATGATTTCAATAAAGGACAATGACTCAGCACCAGCTTTATCACATGCTTAATACTTTCGGTGGATATCCAAGATTTTTCAAGATTCTCCTTATCAACAAGAAGATTTTCAAGATTCCCCTTATCAACAAGATCATTTTGTCGGCCAATATCCAGACAAGTTCTTAATAATTCAAGATAGCTCATCAACTTATCAACTATTTTATGTTTTATTATGTACTGTAATAATGAAGCTGGATTCAAATGTATTTGAAGTCCGCTCTTTTGTAGTATAAATATGTATCACTTAGATTGCAAGAGTAGAATGCGAAAAAAATAAAAAAAAGAGCACAAAAAAGTGAGAGAGCAAGAATATGTATATATATATTTTCATTTCATCATTACTTTTACTATTCATCTCATTATTACTTTTCATACTTTTTTCAATACTTTTTATCATTCATTTACTTTTGAAATACTTGATTTATATTACATTCCTTAAGATTTTAACCATCCTATCTTATATGGTATCAGAGCCAAAAAAAGTCAATAGAAGTGAGTATTAAGAATTAAAAACTACACAAATTAACATTCATTACTGTAGTTACTATAGCAAAACACTGTTCAAAATTAATGTTTATAGTCACAGTTCATCACTATTCACTGTTACTGTTCATACTGTAGCAGTTTACTATTTATTACTGTTCATCTGTAGCCTAGTTCATTTCTTAGTTAAATTAAGGGTTAGATAAATCTAGAAGGTTTTAATCTAGAAGAACTCTAGAATTGATTCTAGGTTACACTTGGTCAGCCTAAAGGGCACGCTCGGTTAGCCTGTAACCGTTGGTCAACCGTGTTAGGTGGTCCCAGAGGTGGTCCCGTATCTTGGTGGTCCCATAATCTAGAAGAGAAACTGGAACTTTTAGTTAAGAATTATTTTAGAGATGTCTAATTTCTTAATCACTACAAGAAATCTATTATATTGTGACAAAATTAATTTTGTCAAATGTTATTTTGTCACGAGTAATATAGTTATTATGATAGAATAAAGAAACATCACATTAAGTATGACAAAGAGAATATACAGTGACAAAAACAAATATTGTCATAATATTTTATCACAATAAAGAAACTCATAATAAATGTAGTGAAGGAAACCCATAATAAATTTAGTGAAGAAAAACATTTTTATCATAATATTTCGTCACAAATTTTTGGTGCAAAATTTTGGCACTTTAGTATATTGTTTATTGTGACAAACTTATTTTGTCATAAAACATTTTAGTCAATTTATTTAGTTATAAATGTTATAATTATAAATTATTTTGTCACAAAAGAATTTATTTATTGTTACAAAAAAAAATTGTCATAATATATGTTGAAATAGAGGTATTAATGATAAAATGTTTGAGTCAAAATTTAAGCACCGATATAAATTGTTTATCCTGACAAACATATTTGTCATCAAAAACTTTAGCCACTATATTTAGTAATACATGCTATAATTACAAACTAATTTGTCACAAAAGATTTATTTATCATTACAAAAAAAAAAAATGTATCATTTATAAATGTCAAAATTGAGGTATTAGTGACAAAATATTTGAGTCAAATTAAATGTGATATTTTGTGACGAATTTGCTAAAAAACACATAATTAATATGCGTACAACTATTTGTCATTCCTCTCAAGTTTTTAGCAATAACATATATTTCATTAAAAAACATATATTTCATTAAAAAAAAAAAAAAAAAAAACTCATTAACGTATAGGATCGAGTACGAGGTCAAGGGCTAGGAAATTTGGTCTGGATTATGGGGTGATCAAGGACGGGTTGAGTTTTGCTATATCTAGCTTAATCAAAGAAATCTATTCTAAAACAAATTTCCAACAAATTAGTGATGAAAAAAAAAAAATCTATTTGTAAAATCGTAACAACAGATTTCAATTCGTTGCAAATATTTGTCTCCAAATTTTAGTTCCTAATCTGCTGTTAAATTATTACTTTTATTTTTAAAAACTTGAAAAGGACAAAAAATTATAAAAAATACAAAATCATTAATAATTTTATAAATGTAAATATTATGTATCATTTTCGACTTTAATGATAAAAGAATACAAATCAAATTCAAATTGAATATATATATTTACATTTTCGACTTTAATGCTATAGACATAATATTTGGATCACATGTTAAATATTAATGTCTGTATTACACGTTCACATCAAAGATGAAACAGCAAAAATAAATCGATTCAGCCATGGTATATTCCAAAACTAAAGACAAAAGGGTTTCTTCAATCAATGCAATTATGCAAGTGCTAATCTATATATATATATTTGGTAAAGGTAATATATAAAGAATGAAATAATGAGTCCCTAAAAAAGGACTTCTACAGAGTGAAGGTCCTTGGACAGGCCCAAGCAACCAAGCAAAACAAAACAAGAGGAAAGGCAAGGATTTACGATCCATAACAACCACCTAACTAGCCTCAAAAAGATCTATACAAAAAGACCAACAACAAAAAAATGCAAGACTTCTGGAAAACAGATCAACTGCTCCAGTTGTACAAAAACAACAGCCACCAAAAAAAACCCAGTACCACAAAAGCAATAAACCAACATAACAGTCCAAACAAGCAACCGACTGAACTGATAAAAAGAGCCACCAAACCAGCATAGGCAATAGGCCAAGCACCCAACCAAAAGAGGACAGAAGCCCAACGCTAGATCAAACAAAAACCCAGAATCTGTAGTTCTGCACTAACCAACTAGCAGAGCAGCCCTTTGGGCATTTCCTCCAAAAAGAATGCACAAACATAAGCCAAGGAAACCAACCCTCCATCAGCGTAAAAACAACACCCAACAAAAACCAAATAAGCACCTTCGTGGGACAGCACATAACCCAAACTAGAGCAAACTGAAGGCCAAGCATCAACAACAAAGGAGAATTAGGATTCGATGCAGTTTTCAGCTCTGAATTTGCACCAACGTTTGGAGGACTAAATGAACTCGAAATTTGACAATCCAAACCTTTCTGAAAAGCTTGAGATGTCTACTTTAACTTCACAGAGGGCCCTGAACTCAAACTGGAACTCTAAGTCGATCAAAAACCTGCAAACAGTCCAAAACATCCAAAAGTAAAAATGCTGGAAATTTCAGGTTTTAAGCATAATTCACTAACACATTACCACAAATGCCTTATACATAAAAAATCAATATAATTCAGCACCATAAGATGTAAAACATGCCAAATAAACTAGATTTAAGGATAATAAGAAAAATGTCCTGCAAACAAACAATAATGTTTTTCAGTTTAAATTTTTTTTTTCCTGAATCATAAGATTCATATCTTTCAACTTCTAGCAAATTTGGTCAAGAACACAGCAAAGATATGGGTGAACTTTATTGCAAATGCTGTTACATTCTGTAAAATTTAATAAATGCACAGGACAAAATTTCTTATTGATACAACCATCTAAAACAAATTAAAAGTAAAAGTAACATAATCCATAATTAAAAATCAAACAACCTAGGTCAGCAAGAATAATAAGATAAAGAACTTACTGGTTTCTAGCCCAAAGAACCCGAAATTCAAGATCTGGAGCTGCTTTTTTGGTTTTTGTTGGCGTAGGTGCCCTAGAGCCAGTCAATTATTGTAGAATTGACTCTTTGTCATAATTTCATTAATCAATATAAAGACATCTTATTCTATACGCGTAAATCATTATTATTGCAATATGAATTGATATATGTCCTTAAATGGTAGAACCTGACGAGGGTATCAGTGTTTTAAATCTTGATTGTGAGAATCCTATGAGCACATATGGTGGCCATTCTAAAACGTCCGTAGCCCCAGTATTATTCTGAAGTAAGGCACAGATAATATGGTAAGGCTATCACTGTTGAACGACCCTATCAAAGGCAGTGACTGATCTCACTTGTCAAGGTTGTTTGGTGACAACCTGGTGCAACACATGGTGCTTGTTGTAGGCATTACACCGCAGCAAGTTCACTGGACTGACCCCCAGAGATTCCTATGGATGGTAACCCCAATGTCTATGGAACAAATCCTCTAACGAATGTTGGTGCATGTGATCCTTAGACTTGAGATCACCGGAGCGCCTTGTGCACCGATTGGTGTAGTTTGACACTACCTAATGCAGTTCTTTTCAGAGTTGTCAATACGGTGGTGATTGGCTACATCAGGAGTGTATCAAGACTATGGTGGATTGACAGAGGATTCATCATCCGGGTATGGGGGAAAGTTATCTCACGGCGCAATTCATATATGGCAATGACACTAAAACTGTGGCCACAGTGGATTGAGTTGTTGCTTTATCTAGTTTACAATACGGTCTTGGTCCAGAAACTGAATAATAATATCAGAGTAATCGAAAGTTGACACATTTTCTATGCCTTCTCTCTCTTCGAGATAACGTATGAGAAAGGATCGAATTGCACGGTAGCCATATCGTTGACAAGTAGCTACTTTGCTAAATCCGAATCTATCGAGTGGCCATGATGCCTTGCTGGGTCAATCTTGGTCGTGTGTTGTGAGACGATTAATTGGTGTAATCACGATACTATACACTGCCGTATGATGAGGAGCTATGGGTCACACACATAGAAGACAATTTAAGATCCAAGAAGAAAGAAGGGCGTTTTCGTCTTTTAAGGCGAAAGGGTATTTTGGTAATTTCACAGTGTAATTAATTTTGTGAGGTCGTAGCCTTTATTTAATTTGTTAGAAAAATTAAATAAGTGAAATTACGTTTACATGTGTGTTCGCACATATTTAAATATATTATCATTATTGTTAAATGTTAATATATATTTAATATATATTAATTGATTTTAATTAAGATAATGATGGAAAATAAATAAATCAAATTGGGAGTGTTTGGCAACATGGTGTGTTGGGTTGGAGCCCAGCCTAGTCCGTATGGGATTAGGGCAAATTAATTAACTATAAAGAAAAAAATGTGTTAATTAAATGAGATATATTTTTCCTTTGAAAAATCAGCAGCCCCCTTTTGGAATACACTCCCACGGCAGAACAAATTGCCATAAACATTTTCAATTGATTTTTTTTTTCTTCTTAATCTTGAAGCCAAAGAGGATCTAGCAAATCCCTCTTTGGTTCTTTTTGAGATTGTCTTCTGGTGGACTACGTGGGTTCGATCCTACACTTGGATCAGTAGCAAAACGTTCAAAGACAATCGTGGTGGAGCCTCCAAACGTGCGTTTGTTTCTTCTAACTCATGTTGAATATTTCTGCAGATTATATTATGATAAAATTGTAAACCATACCCTTGATCTTGGCTCATGTAAACAATCTTGTTATATTTATATTTTTGTTTCCGCGCGTATACGGGACCGTTCTAACAGTTTTCTTCAAGATCACCTTCTTGCTTCTTGCTCTTCTTTTACTCCTTGCTTCTTTTCTCGATTTCATATGAACTCCCCTTGATTCTCCTAAATTTTTTGTCGTGCTTTGTAGATATGTCAGGGTTAGAGTTTGGGCGACAAGGGAAAAATTGAATTGGGTGAAGTGAGCCGTCCTGGTCTCTTCTTTCTTTATAAAATTGAATTGGGAAAACCAAATCTAAAAGAAGGAAAATAAAAGCACTAAGACTAAGAAGATTCAGAATCCATGCCAGCAGAGATAACCATTCCGCTGTGAGAGAGAAGTTTGAAAATAGAAAACTGTTTTGGGATTTGTTTATTTTATAAAAATAGAGAAAAACAAAAAGAAAGGGAAAGCTAAAGGAGCCACGGCCTACTACTTTATATACGCTAGCACCAAACGAGGAACTAAGGCAAGGTGCCAAGGTAAAGGCTAAGCTTAGTCGAATGGAGAGATGGCTCATCCTCTTTTCGTCTTTTAGACAAGTCCAGTAGCGAGGGAATCTTTCCTTACTTCTTCTCTAGTGAGTTTGAGCGCGTAATACTTAACCTAAAACGCAATCGTTCTCTCACACTTAGCTATGAGTTTATATTTATAGATAAATATATCAACACAAAACAAATATATTCTCTTAGTAAGGATAGAAAAACAAACGAGCAAGCTTGCCCGAGAGTTTAGGGAACATTTAGAGAAGTGCATGGGTTGGAATCCCACTATCTATTTTTTTTTTTAAATGGGTTTTTAAAACCTTTGGTCTCTTTTTATTTATTTCATTAATATTTAGCAGCTCCACCAATGATCTTTGCACACAATTTACTCTTAATTTGGAAGAAAAAAAAAACCATTTTAGCGTATTAGAATATATCATAATCCAATAAAAATGCAATTCTAAGGCTATAATATCATAATTCTATAATGAGTAATATTTCTAGGGGGTGTTTGTCTAAGCTTATGAAAATTAGCTTATAAGCATTTGAAATTTTAAGCAATTATGTGTTTGATTAAAGTACTTATAAATGACTGATAAGTAGTTGATGTGTTTGGTAAAATGTGGCTTATAAGTACATTTTATTATAAAATGACTAAAAAATATACTACATTAAACAGAGTATACTATGAATTTTAAAATTAAACAAGGATAATATGGTAATATACTTGGTCAACTAACTTATAAGCAGAGTGCTTATAAAAAAAAAAAAAAAAAAAGTACCTACCCCCGAACTTTTTTTTTTTTTTTTTTTTTTTTTTTTGCTTATAAGCTCAAAAAAGTTATAAACAAACAGGTGAGCTTAATTTTGAGTTTATAAGCTAGTTTGACCATCTTATAAGCTTAGACAAAGTAATACTTAATCCCAATACTACTCCAACTTCTAATAATAACTCTAGAGTAATAAAACTTACTAATTAATTAATATCAGAAAAAGACCCTACAATCAATATTTGCTTAATGAATAACATGATCTTTAGACCATACAGGCGGTTGTCTCATCCTCTTTGGAACACTTACATTCTTTTGGATTGTCACGTACTAAATATACACAGTATATGATCATAGAAAATTAGAAAATGGGGTAAATTATGCAATTCAAGCTCCCCTTGAGGTGGGTGTTTGATGTGGTTTAGTTAATACTCTACTTAATTTAATGTGTCATTTCTAATCTATTGCAGCAAGAACTTCGATTGAGTAATTGATTCAAACTTCTGATTTTTGGGGTGAGTGAGAATATATATGCATGTAAATGATTATATGTATTAGCGTAAATTATATAAAAAAATCAATTACAATATTTATAGTTATGACAATATAATATATATTTTATATTTAAAGATAGACATTTTTATTATTTTTTTATAAGCATAAATAATTTATTAATTAAATAGATATAAAACCTGAAAAAAACTTAATTGAAAAGTTTAGGTCGTTAATCAATTAAATACAATAAACACATATAAACTAAGTGGAAAAAAAAAAAATCTATATTACAAACTTGAAAAGAGAGTATACAATCGTACAAAATAAAATTTTTTTTTGTTTTTATATATGCATTGAATTTTGTTCTTAGCCCAACACTAAGTATTAATATTAAAAAAATGAATAACAAGCTCATCTAGTTTTATTAATTAATATTTACTTATTCAAATAATTTAATCATGAGTTTGGTTAACTCAATGAACAATTTATATTTTAATCAAGCAATTATATTTTCTTTATTTTGAGGAGGCCATGTAAAATTTATAAAATTATGAAGGGCCAAATAATTAATTGGTGTTGAATATGGTATATACTTCTCTTAGCATTGACAGATTTGGTGCCTACGGCGACTCATTCGAGGGTCCACTCCCCGATGATTGTGGTGGTCCCACTCGCCGGTGAGCAGGCAAGGGTGAGAGGGTACTCCTCCTTCACAATAAGCCCAAGTCTAATTGGGTTTAGACTTGGGTCGGGTTAGTTCGGGTAAGTCCAATGTCTAATTCTTCTTATAATGAAATTGTTGGAGTGGGAAATTTTGGAGGCAATTTATAAGGAGGCAGCAATTTTATTTTTTAATTCCCTCCTAAAGATGTAAAATTAAAACCTAAACTATTTTCAAGTATCTTTCCTATTTTAAATATCTTTCATACTTTAGTCAATTATATATTTACAATTAAAATTCTAAACTATTAAGTATCTTTTCTATTTTATATCTTTCCTACTTCAACCTAGTTAATATATACAATTAAAAATTGATTCTATTTTTAGTGTATTTCCTATTTTAAATATATTCCTATTAAAGTCAAGTATATATTTAGAAATAATAATCTAATTACTTTTATTCTGTTTCCTTTTCCTAATCCTTCATCTTCTTTCCATTTTTTTTTTTTTTTTAACATTTTTACAATCTTTTTTGTTATACGACAATCATGGCATTGAGTCGAACTCAAAAAGATTATCTCCAAGAACCAAATACCAAGTCTCTCTTTTTCTATCATCCCATTTGATCAACCAAATACCAAGTCTCCTCGGTCACTTTTTTCCATTCTCAAAACTATATATCTTCTCTTTTACTTCACAAATTTTCTCATCTAATAATAGAGGGAAAATGACATTGAATAGTGGAGAGAGCTCTCAACAGCCTGGGAAAAGGCTTTGATTTAACTTCGGATTTTAAGCTCAAGTATTGCAAAGGCAAAGAGAAGTTAGTTC